CGTTTCCTTTGCACTCTTCTTCCCCTCCTCTCCCTCCTCTCCCTTCTCGTCGTTCCTTCATCCTGTCAGACACGTTGGCACAGGTAGGCTTGTCCCACGATGCAAAAAATGCTTTGTCGAATTCGCTCGGGATTCATCATTCCACCACGCGTGACTCGAACACGCAATTTGGATATTACTGGATGCACTTTAAGCATCCTTTTCTCTCTTCCTTTTTCTTCTTCTTTTTCTGCTTTTTGCTCTCTCTCTCTCTCTCTCTCTCTCTCTCTCTCTCTCTTCAAACCGTACGCGCGCGCCTCTACACCACGCCACGCAAACTACACACCGCTAATCGCGTAAACGCTTATGGCGATCAAGCATGTCCCTATTACCAGGCTACAACCGGTGTTTAACCTACTGCGCGACTTAAACGCAATTTTGATACGCGATGCTCGAGCACCGATACGTTCGACCTTCCCGCTCTCATCATTTTATTTCGTACAACGTTGAACGAAGTCGATGCCTGAGACTCGTCTAGATGCTCGGTCTAGTAACGAGTTATTATAATCCGTGACGAATAACTTTCTCCTCGCTCTCGTATTACATCGGAATAATCAGCTTTAATGCTGTTTTAATGCTGGTTTAAATAAATAAAAAAAAGTAAGAGAAACGTAATGATAAACGACGTGGGTATATCTAATTTATACGTACGGACGTACCGTTAAATCGCGCTTCTTTGTAAAACGAAACCCCGCTTTATTTATCGAATTACCTTCGCCTCGGTTTATTTCACGCGCGCAACGAGAAAAGGGAAGGGAGAAAGGAGCAACGGTCTCGCTCGCACGGGCTCGCTTACGACGTACGAAAGAATTGTATGAATCTATCTATCGATGTACGCGATATGATATTTTACTTGAACGCGCAACCCGAGGGATAAAATACGAAGAAGGTATTTACTCAATGGAGACGTAAATAACGCGGGCGATAGCACGAGCGATTCGATATCTTGCTCGATCGCACGGCCGGTATCGGGTGTATCTGTTTTACCACGCACAATCGAGGCCCGCATAGATTCCGTTCCCGGTGGCACGGGTAAAGGCTATAAAACATATCGATGCTTAATCCTGTCAGACGCCTCGGGTGTCGACGCGACAAAGCAAATAGCAATGGTACATATATAATATATATATATATATATACACCGTTCTCTGTTGGAAAATTTCTGAATGCGTATACGGGCCTCTGTTTCCAAGATTTGCGTGGATTCGAGTCCGGCGATACCGAGCGAGCTAATTATACTCGTATACACGAGTGAGAAGCGTGAGAACTAAGAGGCCGCTGTGAAGCACGTGGCACGCGTATGCCTATTTACCGAGTGTTAGTAGTGTTGAAACGCGATAGGTGAATAGCGTGACAGCGAGTGAGACGAATGTTAGGCGTGACGTGGCACGTGCGCGCGAACTCTGTCCGTAGGCGTGTATATCCGCGGCGCGGACGACGTCCCATTAATTAGGTAGACGGGGGTAGGAGGGCTTTAACGGTATGGAAGAGAGGACACGTGGCCGTTAAAACGCGTACGCCCCGAACGAACCAACGAACGATTCGACGCCGATCGGCTCGGCGACGGAGAGGGGTCTAGGAGACTATGAGATCGCGAGAGGTCACGCCTCGCGCGTGGGAAAAAACGAGAGAAAAGGTCTCGGTGTCTCGGTAAATATAGGCGCAGCCCGTCGTCGTCGTAGCCGCGGTAAAAATCGGGGGGCATGTTCCCGAATAACAGTAAAAGAGCGGTTTATTTGCATTTCGCTTGTAAATCACCCGACGCCCTGCCTTCCACTCCTAACCAACCCGATTCGACCGCTTCGTTTTCGGATACTTGCATAGGTCTTGGACACCTTCTTGGAAGAGTTGAGAAATCGTCGCGTGTACAGCTTCGATAACTAGCATTGAAGAATCGTTGACGCTATAAAAATCTTTTCCCTTAATTTTACAATTACTCGAAAAGGGGAGTGAGAAAATTTGCTTCGAATTTGTATCGATACGAAGGGAAGGAATTGGAAAACGGAATTCTCGTGTAAAGCGGTTGTGAAATTATAAGCGTTTAACGGATACGAGAGTGGATCGAAAAGGAAGGGATCTCTCTCTCGTCTGGATCGGTGCGTCCGGTGGTTGTCCACAGGCCGAACGTTTCTTGCTGAAAGTTGGAACGCGAAGGGGCCACGCCGCTTCTTGGAGGCCGCTCGGCTCTCCTCGCTGCGCGCGCGCCACGCTCGCACCTGTCAACTAACTAGTCGAACCTGATTAAACTCTGCCCCGTGTGTCGTATCGCGTGCCCCGCGTACTCCCCTTCCTCCTTAACTCCACCTCCACTTTCTACTTCCCGTTACCCCCTTCCTTCGATACGTTCAGTCATGTCCCCTTCCCTCCTCCTCCTCCTTCCCTCCATTCGCGCTCTATCGTACCTTTCCTCTCTTTCCTTTTCTCCTTCTCTCGCTCTCGCCTCCTCCCCCTTTCTCTTTCCCTCCCTTTCTCTCTTCACTCGGCTTCGCTTCGAGACCGATGTTGGGCGCAAGCCACGTTCCGTAACACGGCGGAGAAGAGTTACAGGATCACCGATACCATATCCGACTCCGCTCCGCGATCTCCGACGTAGAAATACATCCGAGTTGGCCAAATACCTCCTCAAGATGCTTCGCTCGAGATTAGGAAGCGCTAGCTTACCTCCTTTCCCTTACGTGCAAGGAGGTATAGGATCGTTTATCGATCCGTGCTTTCTTTCTCTCTCGCATCCTATATTTTTCTCTATATTCCAAGCTTTATCTTATTCCACGTGCGTTACGATCGAACGGAGTTTTAGATTCGTGCAACTTCTCTTTCTCTCTCTCTCTTTCTCTCTCTCTCGCTCTCGATTCTTTTCGAACTACTTCTCTCTCACTTGTTAATTCCGTTTCGACCACTTTAGTCACGCGTTCTCTTCTCCTCCTACAATTTTGAAATGTGGCAGAATATAGAATGAACGTGGATTAGCGGGGAAACCAGAGATCCCCTCGGTAAATCGTAGAACGTGATTCACGAATAGATCAGATATCGAACCAATCTCTGGATGTATGTTTCTAGTAATTTGATTTAATCGCAACGAATTCGGACGTTTGACGCGAATGAAAATATAATTTATCGAAACTTTAATCGTTTTTAAAATCTATCGAATGTTTATAGAATATAGACAAGTAAAAAATTAATTTATTTAGAGTCTCGAATTGGTATGGCAGGCACGAACATTTTCTCTCACCCGCTCTGCAATATCGTTTGATAAATATCGCGAATGATATTTTGTTGGGAAATGAACAAAAAAGTTCTTTCGTGAGAGTGCTTATTTCACGGGATAACAGTTTTCAGATGTAAGCGACAAGATTCACGTTCACCATGTAACATTGTCACTGTATTTCACGCGGTTATATACGTGTAAAGAGAAATAATCGTTCGAGAGAAGTCATTAACATACGTATCCTTTAATGTATTCGGTTATACCTTGAACGAGAATACGTTTGAGAATACGCTGTACGAACCTCTGTAGCAATAGGCATACGTAATTTATATTTATGTATCCATGCAATTATTCCGCTTTACGAAGAACTGAAATTGTGAAAAATTCCTTTCCTTTGTTCCTCGTTTATGGCCTTTTGTCTCTCTTTTTATTTCATTCGTGGTTAATATCCTTTCGGTAACGTATAAAAATCGTTTTAATTAACGTATAAAGAAACGTTTACCTAGCTCCGCTACAAAACTTCTTACTAATGAGGATACACCTATTTTGTAACCAAGTATTCAATTAGCACGTTATATTCATATAAATTCAAATTATTTTATTATCTCCTCGTTCCATGGAATTATCATACGCACGATGAAACAACTTTTTTTTTTTTTTTTTTATATATATATATAATATTTCACCGATACAACGAGCTTAAAAGAGCTTCCATGTTTTTATAGATCCCGTAGATTTAAATATAAATAATTTTATACGAAGAAATAAAAGATTTTATTCTGTGTAATCGAATATCCTCGAATTTCCTCTCGAAAAACATTTGGAAAGCATTTTAGAGTTGGGTAAAAAAAAAAAAAAAAAAAAAAAAAAAATACATCGAGGGAGAAAGCGCACAGGCGATGCACAGTCGATCCAGTGAAATTTTAATCGAATACATGGAAATCGATTTAACGAAAGTTGACCGAATCCTAAAACCGGAAGGAAAAACAGCTTATCGGCAATTCTTGATCGTGGTTAATTAACGGCCGCTTTCAAATTCAATTCCGATTATCTTTATTTCCGTAAAAATTAGTAATAGGAATTATACAAGCAGCGCCGCATCGCATAAAATCGTCGAACTAATGATTTATCCGGGAGAACTTGTTGCGTATTTCGTAAGATGGCGTGTCGTGGCACTTATTAAACAACGATATAAGAAAACGAAGACTCCATTTTCTTTCGATTGAACTTTTTTTTTTTTTCTTTTAATCATAAATACTCGATCGGATCGAGATACAATCGAAAGAAAACTTTTATTCCACTTTTTCCCTTCGATTGTATTTCACGTTCTTCCCTCTTCTTTTTTGATTTATCTTTAACTATTTTTATAAAACTTGCTTTCCTTTCGTTTCCACTTTTTCTTTTTTCTTGTGATCGTATCAAAAGGATTTCTGTAATAAATAATTCCATGATAAACAAATATCGACGATAAATATTGGATTCTAAAATAAAAAAAGAAATATATATAAAATTATTGTTGCGTACACATTCTAGAACTCCATTCTTTCGTACCAACCGTTTCGTACGTACCTTTTAAAATACGAGTTTCATTTTCTCTCTCCCTTTTGTTTCGCAAGATGTGACATCTTCACTTTATTCGACGACAGTTTATACGAAAGGATCACAATTTCCTCCTCGTTACAATAGGAAATTCCCAGTTAATTCCCACGGTTGTAAATCGTTCCTCTCCCTGCGGAAAGATAAGAAAGATAAGAAAATGCATCGGCCAGATTACATCATTCCTTGGGTGGAAATGCGGGCGAGAGACGAGAACATTCGAAAAGCATTCAAGTGTTATCCCGTGGTAAGGGAACTTTCCAAACGAATACGGGGGGAGTTTAATAATTAACGCGAAGAGAGACAGAGAGAGAGAGAGAGGGAGAGAGAGAGAGAGAGAGAGAGAGAGAGAGAGAAGCGTGTTCGGTTCTATTCCAGAAGAGAGTGAATTCGTTGGCGGTAAAGCTGAGACAGCTCTCGGTACGAGAGATACGGAAAAACCATTTCCCGCATTGCCCGGGAAATCTATTATTCGGGACGAAATTTTCTTTTCTTTCCGCTGTCTCAGATCTCCGGCCGGGTGATGCACCGTTTATCCACGATCAAATATCACGTCCTATCCTATCCACGTATAATGTATTAATATTTCGGGGGATGAATGCAAGATTAAAATTCTGCTAGTCGATTAAATTTGCAGCTTTTTGCATTGTTTTATATTTAACCAGTTATTTTGAAAAATATTCTCGAAATTTGATCGAAAAGAAATTCTTTCCTTTTGATAAATCCTCCGTTTAAGTATTAATACGTAATTGAAAATCATCCTGAAACGCAATCCACTCGGAGGCAGAAATTGATTTCAGTTGGAACCGTTCGCTCCGCGACATTCGATCTCTTATTTTAACAATAACAAAGAGGACAGCACGAAATGGGCGTACGAGCGTCTTCATAAAGTGGACGGTTTCGATCCCGGCAAGCCGCGTTGCGATCGTATCAAGCAGAGTCTTATTTGGTTGGAAATCTCGAGGGAGAATAAAGGTCTCAAGATCCCTATGATTACCAGTCACTCGTACGGTCGACCGAACAGGGTTCAAATCGATGTCCCTGAAAAGAAGTATCATCGATCCAGCAAACTCAAAGAATTTTATTCTCGCTCCGGCTTTGAATTAATCATTGACGAGGAGAAACAGGAGAAACCGATTTGTCTCAATTAAAACGAGTCTATTGTTGGACGAATCTATTTTCTCCTATATGATTTAACGATCGATTTATTATTCGATCGAATTAAACCACGATATAAGTAAGAACGTTTTTTTCATTTACGATAACAATTATATCATTCATCTTAAATTTTCGTATATTTATAATTTATACGTTTGATCTTATTTTTTTGAAGTATTTTAATCAATATATATATATATATATTGTATATTATGTTTTATTATTTAATGTATATTTATATATTTGTATATTATTTTATACTATATGTATTTTGTACAATGTATAAATAAATAAATAACATCGATTTTTCAACTCAATCTTGAATTACTAATTTAAAATTTAACGTAAAAAGTGGTAAAAATTATCTTCTTCGATCTGAAGAAACGAAAAAATTCGATTTCCTATCTGACATATTTTTTTCAATATTATAGAAATATCATTACGTGATTTTTGTGTACAAATCGTGTAAAGAAAGCGATAGAAAAATTAATACTGGTGGCGCCATCTCGCGTTTGGACGCTGGAAGCTTCGATTTGTTACTAGCAAAGCAGAATATGCAAGGAGGTATTCGTGACGTCACGGACAAAGAGAGAACTTGTGCGAGAAGGACAGAGAGTAATACCTCCCACCATTTTGAAAATTCTATATTGAAAATTAATTAATTATTCGTTTTTTACTAACAATTTTTCTACTTTTAAGTTCGCATTTTCTTCTCGAATCTTTGTACAACTTTCTCGTGTCAATTTTAACGCAAAATTCTTCTTAATTAATAATTTATTAATGATTATCGTAAACAATGTTTCGACCGCAATCCCCCACTCCGTGATCAAGTAATAACAAATTTATTCATTCAAACAACAGCGTAATTACGAATAAAAATAACAATGAAAATAGAAGAAGAAGTAACGTTTCAAATATATGTATTGATATTTATAAATAAATTTTATAATAATAAGAAATTAATGAAAAATTCGTTGCATATCAGTAGCGTTGGTACGGTCGGTAACATTATTCGTTAATAAATAATTAAAATTTAATTTTCTACTAAGAATTTCTGCACTTTTAAGCTTGTAACTTGTAGAGTTAGAACTCTATACAAATTTCTCGCGTCAATTTGTGACGCGAATTCGTTTTTAATTAATTATTTAATTTAATTAATTAACGATTAATGTTACCGACCATACCGACACCGCTAATATCTAACACGATTTTCATTAATTCCTATATAATTATTATAGAATTTATTTATAAATATGAATACACGCATTTGAAACGTTACTCCTTCCCCTACTTTCACGTAATTTTTGTTCATATTTCTGCTTTCATTTAAACGAACAAATCGATTATTTATTACTCGGTTACGGAATGGGAAATTTCGATCGAAACGTTGTCTAGGATAATTGTTGATAGATGAATAATTAAAAAGAATTTCGCGTTAAAATTAACACGAGAAACTTGGGCGAAGCTTCAACTTTAAGATACGAGTCTAAAGGTGTAGAAATTTTTAGTAAAAAATGTGTAATTAATCAATTTTTAATGTTTAGCGTTTTCGAAATGGTGGGGGATATTATCTGTCCTTCTCGCACGTTGATCTCCTTGTCTGTGACGTCACGAATACCTCCTTGCATATCCTGCTTTGCTAGTAACTAGTAGGAACTTCCAGCGTCCAAACGCGAGATGGCGCCACCTGTACTAAATTTCATATTTATTTTCTTCATCTAATTTATAAGCAAAATGTATTTCCTCTAAAATTTATAAAAGTAAAGGAAGAAACGAAATGACAATTCCATAACTTTAAAAAATATTTGTTTGAGGAAAAGAAAAACCTTGTATTGAATTCTTTCAAACTATATATATATTTTTCGATTAAAAAAATATAAAATTAAATAAATGGTCGTACGTATATCACGATGTTTCGATAAAACTTGATAAAATTTCGAGTGCCAATTCTTTCCTACGTATGTTTCGCTGTATAAATTTCGATTTTGAATTAAGAGAATATAACTTGAAAAGAAGTGGCACGTGAAATTTGTTCTCAAATTTCAAGTTAAAAATTATTTATAAAATGCGAACTTGATAACTTTTCCATTATTTCCTCGCATAAAATTATATTCGATCGATCATTTTTATCAACATTCTATATTCTAACCAATATAGTATATTTTCTGTTAATCCTTGACTATCTCTTTTCCCAATTGCCGATTTGAATACAGATTTCCACGCTGTCGGACAGATCAACGAAACGGTGAACGTGGAATCGTTTCAGATGTGCATATAACGTTTGCTCCTGCATATACGGAATTTAAACCAATATTGGTTCCTTCGTTAAACGTGCATCGAAAATTCCATACTTTTACGTTTCACGATTATCATCATAATTTCCACGTCGGATTTCCAACGTTGAATGGTTCGTTAATGCCATTATCGCATTTTTCAACGATATTATATTTAATAATTAATACAAACAACGCATTGAACAAACATTAATGGATTTAACTGGAAAGCTTAAATATTTTCTTTACGAGTAGAAAATTCGAAGCCAAATTAACCACAATTTCGAATGTAATTTCCGCTTTGGAAATCGGTATTGCAAATTAATTAAAACGTCTCTCGCGAGAGCATAATTTCGATTTTAATTTCGTTACCATGAATTTCGAAATACGCTTCTCCCGAGCGTAGACAATTTTATCCATTATCTTCGAGGATGTATCGCGAATTGGTATCAACTGTATCTCTACCTTTCCACTTGCCGTATTCGAGCAAAAGTAGCGCGATACTCGATTCGTTGTTTTCGAATACGCTGGATAGACACGAGAAGGAGGTACGAGAATATACCTACTACTTCTAGCTGGTATCAAGTTTCATGCAAGGGTATCGAGAGATCGCTGAAATTCATAGGTATAGTAAAGTAACGAAAGGAAGTCGAGCAGGATTTTATATAACCTAGAAATACACTCCCTATAGAACGTGTGCTCGCGAATGCGATACAATTGTTCGTGAAAACCGTGAAATATACCGTGAAAATATTATTCCTTTAAATGCGATATAAACAATATGGCGAATAAATACGGAATTAAACGTATCAAGAAAGCAATTTATCAAATCGAATATCGTTCGCGATTCAGATGAAAATATTAATTTTACGCGACATAACCTCTCGGTTGCAACAATTTTCTCGACGTTCTCGTTTATATGGTCGTTATTCCGAGGAAAACGTCGATGAACATCAAAAGTTCAACTCGCGAGACGGAATCTCGATCGAAGGAGAAATTTCGTTGCAAATTTATGCGCGTTAACGTGATATAGATATTCATCGTGGCTGGTTAATCGACCAGGGTCACGGCCAAGCGGCCCACTTTTTAAATTCTTTCTTTTTCGCCCCGTTAATTAAAAGTTTAATTAAAGCCACGCCAATTAATCAGAATTCTGTTTCGGACTGTTGTGGCCGCGTTCTTCGTTGTTCACGGCAGGGATTGTTCACGGAAAGAAATAAAAAAGACGGCGTTGTCCTGTGTTGTTGCCGGCCAATTAAAAAGTCGTCTCGGCCAACAAACTTTCGCCGTTTAACGATGTCCAACGGAGTCCAACGAAGTGAATTTGTTGCACGAAAAAAACCTGTTCAAATATTAATCGTATTGGAAGAGAGGACATTCGAATTGGTTTCTTTCGAATAAATATTTAATCTCCTTTGATCAATTCGTTGCTCGCAATTTTTCTTTCGCTCGAACATCGATATTACCTCGATTTCCTTCCAACAAAAGCCGCTTAATGACCCGGTTAATTTTAAATCGAATAAATAACGCTCGCCATGCACTGATCACGATTTAATCGTGATTCAAAGGGCTCGGATCCTATTTTCTTTCTCTTCTTCCTGTCGGCATCGACGAGAAGCGACGATGCACGGTCGGTCGGCAGGGAATCATGGACGAACGCCGCTTCACTCGATCAGCAATAATTATATCGGCTGCGCATCGGCCGCTACTTCTCTCGGTCCTTCGTGGAACGCAGTCAATCTAATTTTGCCTCGCGTCGAGTAACGAAACGGGTATCCAGAGCGTGACCTTCCTTCCTAAGAAGAATTTTTTGGCGAATAATTTCGACATTACGACGTAGCCCTTCGAAAACCTCAAGTAACGAAGTCGAAAGAGATATATTTCTTGGCGAATAAATTCGACCAAGGTCTCGAAGTAGCCCTTCGAAAATCTCGCGTCAAGTAACGAAGTCGAAAGGGATATTTAGAGTGTGATCTTCCTTCCTAAGAAGAATTTCTTGGCGAATAAATTCGACCAAGTCTTCAACAATTCGACGTAGCCCTTCGAAAACCTCAAGTAACGAAGTCGAAAGAGATATCCAAAATGTGACCTTCTTTTCTAAGAAGAATTCGTATTTCTTGGCGAATAAATAAATTCGACCAAGGCTTCGAGGTAGCCCTTCGAAAATCTCGCGTCAAGTAACAAAGTCGAAAGGGATATTTAGAGTGTGACCTTTCTTCCTAAGAAGAATTCGTATTTCTTGGCGAATAAATTCGATCATTATGAGGTAGCCCATCGGAAACGAGCCTCTCTTTTCGTCATTTCATTTTCTTTTATTTTTTTTCGAATTATGAAGGTTATTATTACATTTACAAAAGATGGATAAAATGAAATGAAGCGGTTGTCACAAACTCACGATGAGCAATTTCGACGAGTATGTATGCAATTCCCTTTCTCCAACTGGAAAAATTTCCCGATCCAACTTTCGCGCGTTTCTTTTCGCGCGAATACTACATCTACTCGGGAAATTCCATGGTATATCGTATTTGTTTCAGGATTTACACGTCCACGCTGGCGGTGCTAAAAGCGCATCCGACATTAATCCCTTAAGGATCAGCATTGCCAAGCATTCCCAAAAGAAATCAGGCGTTGTATGCTTTCTATCCACTCGAGGGATTTAAGCGGAAACGTTGAAATTAATTTAAAAAAAAAGAAAGAAAGAAAGAAAGAAAGAAAGAAAGAAAGAAAGAAAGAAAGAAAGAAAGAAAGAAAGAAAGAAAAAATTGGAGCAAAGTACAATACTATATATATATATATATATATATATATATTTATCGAGAATTGTAAGATTGTTGTCGGTATAAAAAAAAAATATATTTGTATTTGCTCGATGATTTAAAAAAAAGAAAAATTCGATTTTCTATTCAGGAACCGCGTTGTTCACGAAGAAAGTCGATAAATCGGATTTTCATTTCGACGCTTCTCTTCTAATATTTATCCAACTCGTTTCGTTTGTTTAATTGTGTAAGATCGTGTTTGATCGTAATTTATGAGATACGAACGCCAAAAGCGACGTTTTGGGCGTTTATTTAATATAACTCTTCCATTCTCGTCGAAATACTTTAACGCGATAACTATAGCATGATAAAAAAAGAAAGAAAGAAAGGGAAAAAGAAAACCTCAAACAATTCATCCAACCAACGTTACGCTTCTGCTCTTCCATATTGTCCCAAGATTTAAAACTATTCGTCAATTGATAATCCATTTATTGCCACTGATATTTCAATTTTTGCGTATCCATAAAAGTTCTTCCTTTTGCAAACACCAAATAAAGACGCGTATTTTTTTCCCGTTGAATTCGTTACTATTTCGTGAAAAAAAATTTTCCATATTTACTCGTTATTTCGTGTCTCCAACAATGACTCGCGATAAATATCCTTTTTTTTTCTTTTCTCCTTTTCCTCGAGTAATTTCGAACTTGAAAACTCGTGCATCCACTTCGAGAAAAAGCCATCGTCCCTTCCTCACCTTCCTCGTTCTAAAAGAAAAGAGAAAAAAGAATTTCACGCCGAGATGAAAATCGAAATTTCATCGATTCTATTTATCCCAATAATAAAACGATCAATTGATAGAAATTTTTCTCGAGACAACTAACTTATTGTACATCGTTGCATCGATAAATCACTATAATTATATACATATAAACGTACCACGCGATCGTTGCGTGCTAACATTTTTTCCCCCTCCTCTCTTCCCCTTAAAAACGGTATAAATCGCGGAGCGCACATCTCTCGTCATATCTATTTCCGGCAGATTTACGGGATGTATAAATTATTAGAATCGGGACATTGTTTGTGTCGAAACAATGCCTCATTGAACCGTTCGCGCCGACCTCTCTCTCTCTCTCCCTCTCCCTCCCCCCCCTCCCCAATCAACGCATCGTTCCGGATCTTTTATCTGAGTGTTTCGGAATCGCGTCACCGATAAGACGACACGGTGTTTGTCGAGGAATCATTCTCCAACGTTTTCCCTCGTATTTACAACGCCCAAGTTTCGTATAAATTTTCGGCGCACGGTCGGCGACGCGACGAGTCGAGAGCCGCGGGAGCGATGGCGATGCCGATCAGGGCCGGCGATTCGGCACCCGTTGGCCGCCGTTGCGCCGCCGATTCGAGGGACGAGCGCCATGCCTCCTCCTCCTCCTCCTCCAAGGACGACGACGACCACCGCCGCCGAGCGTCCGCGCTTCTCCTCGACTCCGACGTGGACGAGATCGTGGAGCGGAGACTTGGCACCGACGAGTTTCGCGTCTCGAGCTGGAGTTTGGACAAGTTGGGGGAGACGAACGGATTCTTGGGCCAGTACTACACCCTCTCCGTGAGGGTGGAGGGTGGAGGCGAGCCCCTGAGGTTCTTCGCGAAAACGCCACCGCCGACCTCCAGCCCCCAATACGACTTCCTCGTGAGGCACAACACGTTCAACAAGGAGATCGACGTTTACGGTGAGATAATACCCGAGATGGGGTTAGGGAGCGGGGCGAAGTGGCTGCCCGACTATTACCTGGGCAAGAACGATCGAATAATAGTTCTTGAGGACGCCGTGGACAGCGGTTACGCGACACTGGACAAGTACGCGACGTACGAGAAGGGGCATTGGATACTGTTGGCTAGGGCGATCGCCACCCTTCACTCGAGATCCTTGATCCTGGACGAGAGGCTTCGACGTGGCGCGGGGAGGACGATGCTCGACGTTTACGGCCGTCTGTTGAAGGAGGTGGCGTTCGTGGAGAGCGAGCCGTTGGCGGGCAAATATCTGTCCTCGTGCGTGAAAGGTGCCTGCGCCATGGTCGACATGAACGAGGGCCTGGGGAGGGGCGAGGCCGCGGCGATAAAGGATTGGATCTGCGAATGGGTGCCGAGATTGCCGGAGATCGTGGTCCCGTCCGACAAGTGGAGGAACGTGATGTGCCATCGGGATCTGTGGTCCAACAACATCATGTTCAAGACGGACGGCGAGGGCGAGCCGATCGGCTGCTACCTCGTCGATTTCCAATTCTTGCGCTACAGCCCACCCGCCTACGACTTCGAGACCGCCCTCCTCCTCACCACCTCCCGAGCGCTGAGACGCGAGTGCCGCGACCTATTCCTCGACGTCTATTACGACGCGGTGAGGAAGGAGTTGTCGGTCGAGGGCCTCGTCGCCGAGGACTGTTTGCCACGGGAGGAATTCGTGAAGAGTTGCGAGGGGGCGAGAACAATGGCGTTGGCGTACGCGGTCGCCAATATGCAAATAATGCTGCTCTCGAAGGAGGCGGTCGAGGAGTATTTCGTCGGCTCGACCGAGAAGTTGGAGCACTACATGTACGGCGATCGACGCCCGGATCTCGTCGAGAGCGAGTGCCGCGCCACCGAGATGTACCGCACGCGCATCATGGAGGTGATCGAGGAAATCGGGGAGTACATCGCCTCCAAGGGAAAGTGGTAGGAAAGGGGGAAGTGAACCGACGGATCGTCGTATCTTACGATACTTGTGACGTGTAAAAAGGAGAAACGACGAGGCCTTTGCCAGAGCTTCGTAAGAGGACCGTTGTTCGATAGGAAGAGGGTAGTGAATCGGCCAACACATCTCTCGCTAATATCTCGTTTAATATTTCTCGTTTAATATTTCTCTCTCGGTACGAGAATACCGTGTTTTCTTCTATTTCTTACTTTTTTTTTTCTTTTTGATACGTTTCTCGATATTCGAAATCGTTGTTATCGTAATATCATCGTTTGTATATGTATAATAACGATATAATTGTTTGTTGTTCGATTATATTCACTTTTCGACCTTCGTGGAAACAAGCAACGCGACGTTTCACGAGAATTTGGTCGAAGCATATTTTTGAAAGGGCTTTTTGTAAGGGTAGTGGTATTTACTTGCCCTTTCGTTGATTATTAATAACGTTTCGCAAACAAGAAGTGTAGTACGCCAGCAGAAGTAGTGCTTTTATTATATCGTTTAATCTCGTTTCTGCTTCTCCCTTTCTTTCTTCCGTTCTTTCGCTCCGTTGTTCCGCTCAGCTTCCTTTTTTCCCTCCTCCCCCCATGATTTGCCTGTCAGCGATACTGTGCACGATAATAAAGTAAATAAAGTCACGTATGGAAGTCGCGCCATTGTTCCTTCCATTTTCCCCGAGCATATTTTATCACGACTCCTCGACGAGTTGCTCGTCGAACGAATGTTTGAACGATCCGTTTGTTGCCTCTTCACGTAACGCTTTAATATAATTATCTCACGCGTTCGTTTCTCGCGCGTAGGTAGCTTTGTTGAACCGAGAATCGTTAAGAAAGCTAATTTCCTCCCCCCTCCCTCCTCGAAACCTCGTCCCGCGATACGACGCTTTGCCGGCTTAAACGACGCCATCGCTCTCCGTTAGCCGAACTTTATCGTAAAAGGGAAAAGGGATTATGGCACGTAATAAACTTTGCAGAAATCCCGCAAGAGGCGGAGAGAGATAGGATAGAAACCCCTAATATTTAAAGTAACTTTTACCCCATAATCTTAACTCTATACGCGTTCGACTTTTACATCCTTTCGAGAGAAAAGAATACACGAGTATTTTGGCGTCGATGTCGCAACGATGACGTTAAAGAACGTTTGGAAAAAAGTAACACTGTTGAATGGAAAGAAAATACGCAAGTATTTCGATGTCGCAAAATCGGTTTCGATCGTATTTTTTTTTTTTATAAAAATATTACGAAAATAATTATTAATTATTCGCGAAACAGAATCCATTTCAGAATGAAAACGTTAGACTAAAGAACGTTGAAAAACACCGTTGAATGTCCTTTGGAAAGAAAATACGCAAGTCGCAAAACGGTTTCGATCGATTTTTATAAAAAATATCACGAAAATAATTATTAATTACGATTATTCAAGAATCCATTCCATAATGAAAACGTTAGATTAAAGATAAAGATTGAAAAAAAGTGAAAAGGAGGACTATTGAATTTTTTGGAAAAGAAAATAAAATCGGTTTCAATAGATATTCTATTTTCTTTATAAAAATATATGCTTGCGATTATTATCGAAAATAATTATTAATCATCTACGAAACATGAGATGAAAGAACGTTAGGTTAAAAAAGAGTAGCATGGGAAAAGAAGTAATGAAATGGGAGCAGTGTTGAATAGCTGTTGGCAAATTTATCTTGATTGCGCAATAATCGAGCATCCGATATTCCCCGGTTGGCGAAAATGAGAAACACCCGGTCCCATTCGACGGGCCGTAATGTTATGTCAGATTAAAGCAGAAGTTCGTTTTACGGCCGGCAATTCGAAGCAGCCGTAATCGTTCCTGCGTCGAGGCAATGACATAACCGTGAAACGGTAAATTGCGCTCACCTATCGATGACGGATCCCAATAGCTGTGTTGTATCGCGAACGCAATAACGCTCAACAACTATTATTATTTTTCCCTCTTCTTTTTTTCTTTTTTTTTTTTTTTTAATCATCCCGTCCTATTATTCCTCATCACGACGCGGACACGTCGACGTGCTCGTTGTTCCCGGAGTCCGTTCGAAACGAGTCGACACCGTTCAACGAACGAAATTGTAACCTTCCCCTACCCATTGTGCACCAGTGACCGTGGCAAATACGCGATAAACAGGAAGATGAATGCGAGCAATAGCGAGGGGCCGGTCATTGAAAATTTCAGGCAGCCTGCATCGCGCGTTCCTTTCGCGAGTAAACGCGAAATAATTTTATACAAACGAAACCCGTGAAATTCCTTCGAATGCGCTTTCTTTTTCAGATCAGAATTTTTCGAAATCCAACGCGCGTAAATATTTAAATTCGATAAAAAAAAAAAAAAGAAAGAAAATGAAAGATTAAGATTGAGATTAAGTTTGATAAGACAAAGACGCGTTAAACCTCGTTTCTCTCGTCGATTACAACGAGGAAATAGTTGTTCACAGGTGGTGGAATTATGTTGGACGATTTCGAGCGATCGCCGTGCAACATTATCGAGAGAAACGGTGTACCGAATCTGTTAATCGCAAAAGCTCGCTGTTCCTCGCGTGCTCATTATACTTGGCAGGCCACGGCAGGCTTTCCATTGAACGATGCAGAATTATCATCGATCAGCCGATAGCATTACGATTCCATTATCTGCATCTGTGCCGAACTCGGCCCGGCTAACCCTCGCTCGTTACCAACAGCCTCCATCTCCAACCCGTAATCCCATCATTGTACTATACCTTACGAATATTACCAATATTTACTAGACGTGCTCGTTAACCAATTTTTCTTAAAAATCATTATTCTCAGAAACGTTTCTACGTGTATATATATATTCGAACGAATTTTCCCAATTTCCCCTTTATTCCAATCGTTTTTATAAAATCCGATTCAAGCGAAGTAATACGAAGCAAGTTCTGCTTGATTTTTCTCGAAATTGGCGAGGATATTAATAACGTTGGAGAGAATTAATCAAAGGATAATAATCTTTATTTTTCCCTCCTCCTCCTCCCCTTCGAACTCCTCGTTTCGAAGAGCGTGGAAAATCCATGATGTTTCGTGGAGGGAGGATGGACCATCGTCTTAGGTGCGTCGCGAAACAAAGAAGGCTAACGACATTTGACGGGAGAACGACACGCGTCCGCCCGCGAAATGGTCGTGGGCCAGACTGGCGCGTCGCATCGACGCGTCCCACGAAAATCTCGCGGCACTCTCTCGTGGCGGCGAAGGGCGCAGGCGCCCCCGACGTCCGGTATCCGGTGGCGGCAAGCCGACTCCGGATTTTCTCTCTAGTGTCGCGTCAACCGCCGCTCGAGTGTCGCGCGCGTCGTTCTGCACCCTCGACTCGACTCGACTCGAATCCAACCCTCCCTCTCGATTCCTCGACGCGCGCTCTTCGCCTCCTCGATGCCTCCGGCCATGGATTCCATTCCGACGGGATGGTTCGCGTGATTTTGAACGGGGAGGTATACACCTCTATCTCTCAATTATGAGGGAGAAACGTTAGAAACCGTCGAACCGTCGTGAATCGTGTGTCGCGGCGGAGAAGGAGATCGAACGGGTGTCGACACGTGTGTTTATATTTATATTATTACACTCGTACGTTTACGTTATCGTATTATTATTCGTTCGCTCGAAATACGATAATATCGTCGCGATGTCGGGCGAGAAGTGTATGTAAACACGTGTACGTAAACTCGTGCCGTGTATTATTCGCAGTCGGCGTTTCGTCGTTCGACCGATCGCACGCAGTGAATTCGAGGCGTGAATTATTTTGCGGGAGAGGAAGACGAGGAAAGGATCGTCGCGTGTGTATGTGTGTGTGTGTCGCAAAGAAATCGGGGGCAATCGGAGAAAAGTGCGTCGACTATGAATTGGTGGAAAGTGCGCGCTGTCGTGAATCCATCGGAGACGTCGCCCGGCTGTGAAGGAATGCTCGTGTCGGGCGCCGAAGCACGAGGGACGTCGCATCTTTAACGTAATGGTGAGTGCCCTCTAAATACCCTCTTTCCGAGTTTCGAGTCGGATTGAAATCCGCGCGCCGGGGAAAATAATAATAAATCTTTCTCGGCAAGAAGAGTAGCAAGAGTTTTTCGGAAAATATTTTGTCGTGTCGTTGTTGTTTTTCCTACAAGGAGGGATGGAAGGGGGAATAAAAAATTGCGCGTCGCGCGTTGGACGCGTCGTGAGTTGTTGCGAACCGCGCGAGATTTTTTTTTTTTTTTTTTGTATTTCTTGCAACGGAACACGGCGCGTAAACGCGTACAAAGTATCGCGGTTGAATCGTCGTTGCGATTCGTCCACCATTTTTCTCTTTCTTTTTTCCGCACGCGCACCCCCCGCGCGAAAACCCCGATTTCACTGGGAAACGTTTGAACGGAACATTGATCCCTCATCGGATTAATGTTTTTCCAACATTGCCCCGAGCCATTCTACTTTCACGATTGAAAATAAAATCAAGGGACGATCGTTCTTTTTTGTCCTTGATCTACGTGGTTCGCGTCATACGTAAATATGTTGTCACATGGGTTGTGTACGTTCTCAAATTTGAAGAGAAATATTTTAGCCGAATATTACGTATAATTCACACTCTTTTTTCTTTTTTAAAATTATAACTATGTAACCAAAAATACGATAAATTCTCCGGCAAATTAATTCAAAATTTGAAAGAAACATATATATATATATACGATGTAAAAAATAAGATTTTAGGGATGAAATATACGAAGACGTGTAATGCGTGTATATGTATATATATATATATCGTGGCTGGATGCATAGAGTAGAAAAGGAGAGGCGACCAACTATTAACCGCACGTGTCGAGCCGCATAATTTACATACTTGAGTACGTATCTGCTCTCAGGTCAGACACAATGGCACCCGTACGATTTTACCGTATATACATATATGTATATTATTCCACTTTGCACACGCGCACACACGCGCACACACATCGACACATCTGACACCTGAACAATTTGGATTGATCGTATCAACTGTTTAATCGCTTTATCCTAACCGGACAATGGAAGAACGATGCTCTGAGCATTGCATCGAGGACTGGTCCGGCCGGTTCGGCAATTAGCTTAAATATCGCTTACATTGACATTAATCGACAGTATCTCGCTTGATTCGAAATCAATTGCGTAACTGTTATGCGTATGCCGTTTACGCGAAGCTGTTTTTTAAAACGGGCAAACTAGGCTTGCCGTTTTCAAAATGGATATATATATACATATATATTTTATTCTGTTAAATTAAAGAGAGCGGGTAATACTTTGAAACAAGTTTTCGCGCGAAATACGAACTGGGAAATACGCAAGTAAATCTTAAAGTTTAAATTTCGGTGCTTTTCTGGCTGGAATTTAATTCTATCGCATTCCTCTCGCCATTCTTCCCTTCCCTTTATTTACACGCGTCTTTTTTCGTTTAATTAATCTCTCAATTTCGCTTCGTTATCCTGTTTAATGTAGAATTAATCCATGGCCGTGTAAAAGCGTTAAATAAGCCCATATTTCGTGTATAATATCGATTTCTCGAAACGAAAGAGGGGGAAGAAAAACTAGAACTAAAGTTTGTCACGGTTATCCCTGATCGAACTCATGATTAATTACCCGAGCCTCGGCCAGAATCAATTAGAAAGTTG